GGTAAGTCTTTAAAACAGCACAATGCTCAAAGCAAACATTCTTTACTAATCAAGCTATTGTTTGGTTTTAAGTAGATAATTTTTTACTTTAGTAGATAATTTTTTATTAAAGTTTAAAGATTACCCTAGGGCAATAATTTCAGTGAGGTAGGTTGGGGAAAGAGTCATCCAATCTCAAAGTCTCCAGAAAGTATGGATCCCATGAGAATTTTAAATTCTGTTCTACATTTTCCCCCTCGGGATTAGGATTCTTGTATAGACTCTTTGATCAAAACATTCAGCAATGGTTGATGGGTACCATCCAGTTCTTCTGGCAACTTTGCAAGAATTTAAAGTCAGAATCCCAATATCTTATTACATTTCCCAATATAAAGGCAAGTCAGGACTAACACTACTTTTTTAAAAATGGAAGCAGTAAACTTTGCTCCTGTCAATGATATATTTAGCACTTTGTAAAATTTGAAAATTTATGTGCAATGAATTAAATATTGCCAATTAAGAAGCAACGGTATTTGGAAGTAATTCGGGGTTAGTTAGAGGAACAGTGTTTCCTGACACTTTGAAGCACTGCTTTAATATATGGTTCCTTAATAATCTAAAATAATAATGCATGTCCCCTAAATATCTTAACATTTAGTAGACTTTGAAACTACTCACACATCAAAATTTTGCTGATGAAATGGATTATCTTCCTTTAGTTGTATGTAAATGTATAAATACTCTTTTCTCAATCACTTTCCATTCTAAACAGTTGATTATGGACTGTGCATATGTGTTTGTGTTCAATAAAATCTGCGTAAAAGGAAGTGCTCATTTGGGTCAAATGGTTCTAGTCTCTAGTTTATGTACAGTAAATCAAGCGTCTTGCTAGGACTTGGATGAATTTTAAAACTTCATTTTCATAAGACTTAAAAGTCAAGATTTTTTTACCAATGCCAGTAAATAAAACCTATGAATAGGTTATAAGAAGAAAGCAGTAAGTGGTGAATTAAATTTATGGAAAATAATATTACAAATAAAAAGCTCAGAAACAGATAGACTTCCCCAACTACATGATTTTGTGAAATGTTAGTGGCTATTCCATATGAAAAAGTGTCACAATTGAATGAAGTGTGGGAAATTCTGACTACATGATTTCTTTTTTTTTTTTAAACTTTTTAGTGTGGTTTGGGTGATCTCCATCCCCAGTTACAGTACATATTAGCCCACTGAAGGCATTTAGGTATCCTCCAGTATATACATGTGTACATATACACACAAACATGCATGTATACATGTGCACTTACAAGCATTTAGCTTACTTAGTCTAGCATTCTTCAAGCTTCTTTGACCACAAAAAGCTTCCTCTGAAGTCTCATAGTACCTCTTTGGTTCTAAAGACATGACATGTTTCCTATATATTACATTATTTTGTTAAAAAATTTTTAAGAAACACAGCCCTAGCTGACAATTTGGAAAAAGAAATTTCAGATTGGTAATTAATATTTTTAGTAAATATTTTAATAGATTATGCAAAAACATGCTATTTTATCTCCTTGTCATGAATTTTTAGAAAACCACTTTTTAATGAACATTAATGTACATGTATTTTCTGTATCTAATTTCATATAGTCACTGGGTTTGCATTTTTCAATCTACAATTATTATAACATTTCAAGGACAGAGATTATTATTATTTGCACATACACTTGTCTTCATGCTTTGCAAAGGGAGGGGCAGAGGTTCAGACCACCCCAAATTGATTATCTAAACATCTAAATTATAAAGACACTTCAAAGATCAGAGACTTGAAAAAGGGAGCATTTTCAGTGTCTCTGCAAATAAACGCTACAATGCATATTTTGCATTTTGCAAATGTGCACAGGTTAACATGAGAAAAATTTCCAGCACTGGCCAATACCAATAAAATATTGGGAAATGCTTATACATTTCCTAAAGTAATTACTGGTGAATTCATTATGAGAAATTGATTTCAACTATATCAGTTCATCTTGGCTTTTGTTTCCAAAATTTAGGAGGGCAGTTAATCCTGAAGATATTTTGGAGAGGAAAGGGTTCTAAAACAGTGTCCAAACAAGTGTAATATATGAATAATGTCTGCCATTTACTTTAGCAACAAAATAAGGACTGAAGTCTCAGCTGTTGACTTCACAAGGTTTGGTTTTTAGCATGATTTCTTCCCCCTAATCTACAAGTGAATAGCATTCCATCTTTTGATTTACAACTTCATTTGGCTTATCCTACTCTCTCACCTAATTCTCAATTCTAACTTTCCAGGCACCAAATCTAAGGCTAACTCATCAGTTTCATGTTTTGTGTAGTTTCTCTTCTTCTTTTTCAGAATTCTCCTTTTCCAGGTCGCGCTGAACGAAGTCCTTTTCTTCTTGCTTTTTTCATACTGTTTCTTGTTTCAGATGAAGAAGAAGCTTCCCCACCTAGTGCTGTGCCTCCAGGTTAGGACGATTCCAACTCCTTTCCTACTTTTTAAATTTATTATTAATTGTCAGTAAAGGAAAAGAAAAGTCAGGTCACCTTGGTGAGCCAGTGAGTGCAGCAGGGACACAGATTTTGCCTGGGCCTGAACCAAGAGGAAAATATTGGCTTAATGACAATTTTTTTTTTGTTTGACACAAGAAGCTTAGAACCAGGAGGCTTCCTTTGTGAAATAAAATAATAATAAAAAAAAAAAAAAACTGCTAAAAATCTCAGGTATGAATTTTAGGGGCAAAAGTATTTGTCATTCATTTCTAGTTATATGTCCATTTTCCCTTTCTATTAATTTAAATAGTTAGAATTGTTCTTTATTATTGCTTTAAAATTAGATACTTTTTAAAAATGTTTTCACAGAGGAAGCTGCAGTGATCTTCCATCCAGGCCAGCTTCTAGTTTTTCTCTCCCTGTTGCTAGAGGAGACAGGGTTTGGGGTACCCAAGAGCTTGGAAGTCAGTGTTCCATCCTCACCCTCCCTTGCATCAATCAAATCACACTTTCCTTTCAGGTGTGGGTAGTCGGGCCCTGGAAAGAAAAGATTCAGGTGAGCACACTCCTGGAGCAAGGCATCCTGACCCCACCCTAATTCAATCACTAATGACCTCATTTCTTGAGACTGTATTGATTCTAATTCTTGTTTTATTCCATTTGTAGCTTTCACAGCAACCTTTCATTACATTTCCACTTACAGGAAAACTAATGCATTGAGAACTCATTAATTTTGCATGCTACACACATACACACAAATATGAGGGATCTAGCCTCATGCAGCAGGCAGTGGTGGTTTGGTGGTAGAATCCTCCCCTTTCATGCTGGGGATCTGAGTTTAAATCCCAGCCAGTGCATCTCGAGTGCAGCCACACCACTGTGCACTGCTGTGACTCAGAACAAGTTTCAGCAGAGCTTCCAAAAGAAGACAGACCAGGAAAGAAGGCCAGGCAATCTACTCCTGAAAATCAACTAATGAAAACCCAATGGTTGGGGTCGCCATGAGTCGGGGTGACTTGATAACAGCCAATAACAATGCACCTTACATACCACGTGTTTGTTTTTTATAACTATCATTTTAAACATTTAGCAAACACACAGAGATCAAGAAACTTTTAAAATGTCTATTCCTGGACTGGACTGAAGTTAGATAATAATTCACACTTTTGTAGTAACATACACTTGACAAAACACTTTCAAATGCATACTGTCAGCTGTAGCTACAATTCTGTGAGGGTATTCATTCATTCATTCAGCAAATATGGGCTGAGGGCCTACTCTGACCCTACCTACTACTGGTCTTTAATGGGCCAGATACTGTTGTAGGTACCCTAGGTATAGAAGTAAATAGGACAATACAAATGTCTTCCTCATGTTCCAACTTCAGTGGCCACTATTCACTCTTAATATCACAGACACACACACAACATAAAAAACTAACATTTATTTGAGTATTAAAAAAAATATGTAATCATGTGACTAGGTTGCATAACTTCGTTGTGAAAACAATGGTCTCCTATGGGCAGAAATATGAAGCATGATTGATACCTAAAGACTAATATAATTAAATTACAGTTTTCTTCTAGTCAAGAAACATTAACAAGAGTTTGTGACCCATGCATTTTTTTTTTTTCAGCTACTTAATTGCTGAAATTAAACTTTTCTACATTCAGCTCTTGGAAACAAAGGGAGTATCAACAGGTCTCTCTCCTACCATCCTGAATGACGTTTACTGCTGATTAATAACAGCCCAGAATCTGGAGTATAAACTAGAAAATAGCCAAATAAACTTCCATTTCCAGCTTCTCTCTCTTCATGGGAAAATCTCAGTTTATTCTTCTTTTCATTTCTTTTGTTTTTTTCCTCTCTAAGAACACTCCCAATATTCTTGAAATCTATGCTTGCAGGTCATTCATTACCTGATATCTATTTGTCCAACTATGGTCATATGTACAACAACAACAGAATTGTCCAATCATATGGCAGCAAGGAGTCTAGAAATACTTCGCCAGGCTTGATATTTCCAGATTGTTTCAGTCTGAACAATCAAACTGACCTATCATAGTATTTTCCAATCTGTTGTATAGATGTGGCCTTCTAGACACATCTGGAAAACAGATGTGAAAACTTGGAAAAACAAGGAGAATTCAACTTTAATTTACCACTGCCACTATTTATCTGTTAGGGGACAGGCAGTATGGGAAAACAGAGCAAGCAGCGCTGTCAACAGAGTAATAACCAGACTTGAAAAGTTTCATTATTTCTAGGAACTAGAAAGCCTGCCTTTATCCCACCATGAAAGTGACACCTCTCTAAGAATGGGAACCTGTCACTCTCTACTGATGGCTGCTGGGGGGCAGGGGGAGGGGAAGGGTATGGGGACATAAAGAATGATGCTGTATTTATCCAGTTTTATCAGACAAAGGAAAGCTTCAGCACTGATGAGAACTCCAAACCCAGGTAAGTCTGCCTAAAAAAAAATGTGGCACTGAAATGAACCATTTCCTCCTTTCTGTCATTAGAATGGTCTCTAGGAGAATCACCTGCCACGGAGGAACAAAACAAGCAGAATGCCAATTCTCAGTTGTCCACCCTGTTAATTGAGAAACCTCAATCAGGATCAGTCAAAGTCGGTGAGTCTTAGCGTCAAATCCTGCCTTTATTTATTTATTTAAATTGAGGTGGAATTCATGAAACATAAACTGAACTATTTTAAAGTGAACAGTTCAAAGGCCTTTGGTACATTCTCAATGCTGTGCAACCACCCCCTCTATCTAGTTCCAAATCGTTCTTATCAGCCCAAAAGGAATTCTACACTTATTAGCCATCACCCCCACCCCCCTGCCCCATTCCTCTTTACGCTCCAGCCTCTGGCAACTGCAAATCTGTCTGCTTTCTATCACTATGGATTTACCTAATCTGGATGTTTCATATAAATGGGACCATACACTATGTAGTCTTTTGTGTCTGGTGTTTTCAAGGTTTATCCACACTGTATCAGTACCTCCTACCTTTTTCTATAGCTGAGTAACATTCCATTGTATGGATATACTAAATTCTGCTTTTTATAACCTGAAAAGAAGAGCAACAGCTATCATTTCAAGAACTTTTAGCACACCTGGACAGCACAGCCCAGTACTGAGGATGTAGACCCTGCAGCTAAGCATAAGCAGGTTGGGTTCAAATCTTGGATCTATTTCTTATGAGCTTTTGTCCTTGGGTAAATGACTTAACTGTTCTAAGCCACAGTCTCCCCAACTGAAAAGTGGAAATAATAATAGGATCAGCCTGGGAAGTACTTTGAACGAGGCCTGGGATATCACAAAGCTCTGAGCTAGCGTTTGCTGTCTTACGACACACCTCATTCCATAACAGGACGGCAAATCTGCACACACCCTAGATCGCAGTGTGAGTATCTCGGAGGGCACCAGTCGGAGAGATGGCTCAGCTTCTGAGATTTTCACCCCGATAACAGTGCCTGTATTTTAGGCATTGTGCTGAATATTTAGGGTGTGAGCACTCCAAACTTACAGTCCAATGGGAAGAGCAGACAATAAAAATTAAACCAGCAAATAATGTCAAAAGCCAAGTGTTACAAAGGAAATAAACAGGGTGGTAAACTAGGGAGGGGCCTGGAGGGGGAGTATGTGGATGGAGGGGACAGGGACCGGAGCAAAAGTTCTAAGTGAGGGAGTGTCCAGGAATTTTAATTAAACTTTTATTGGAATATCAGGCAGTCCCCGACTTATGACATATTAAGTTATGACAAACCACACTTATGACCATCCTTTTTTTTTTTTTACATCATTAGTACTATGTCGCAGCATGTAATTTGCTGATGTCATCGTTCTCAGATGTTCACTCACAGATGTTCAATTTCATGATTTACTGTTAAAAACACTGCTGGGTTTTTAAAGATACTGATAATAAAAGGCAGTAACAGTGAAAACTAAAAAAAAAAAAAAACCCTAAAATATTCAACTTATGTCAGGACCATTATATGACAGAGTTGTTGGAAAGGAACCCTGTTATAAATCAGGGACTGCTGTACTGTGATCAGAACTAGCCATTGACATTTACTAAACAGTGTACCAGTGAGCACACACAGCTGAATATATTCCAGAACCCCCTCCTCCAGGTCTGGAATGCGGGAGCACAATGCATGTGATGGAGATGTCTGCTCCCCTATGTCCCTACAAGACACTGCAATGCTGGGCTGGCAGCAGGGCTGGAGTTTGGATGTCCCCAGTGTCTAATTAGTCGATACACACACATAGGCAGGGTTACCGCAAACTAAGCACTTTCAATTAGACCTATTCCTACAATGCCAGGCTTCCCACCACCATGCATAATAAAAAAGGTGGAAAAAAAGATTCATATGTATTTCATTTTCTTCATCCTATTTCATATATATATATATATATATATATATATATACACACACACACACACACACACACCCAAAATCAAACCCATTGCTGTCAAGTTGATTCCAACTCATAGCAACCCTACAGGACAGAGGAGAACAGGGTTTCCAAGGCTATAATCTTTATGGAAGCAGACTGTTAAATCTTTCTTCCATGGAGCCCAGGTGAGTTCAAAACTCCAACCTTCCAGTTAGCAGCAGAGTGCTGTAACCACGAGGGATTGTACATTATACATAGTGCATATATATGAGGAGTCCCTGGTGGCAGAAATGGTTAAGAGCTCAGCTAGTAACTGGAAGGTTGGAGGTTTGAATCTACCCAGAGGCTCCTCAGGAGAAAGGCTTGGCAATGCACTTCCCAAAGGTCACAGTTATTGAAAACCCTATGTACAGGTCTACTATAGAACACATAGGGTCACCATGAGCCAAAGTCAACTTGACAGCCAATGGTTTCTCATATATATATATATATATATATATATATATACACACACACACACACATACACACACACGCACACACACATATGTGTACATTTATTTATATCTATAAAATTTAAAAAAAAATTTTCATTGAGTCAATTCCGACTCATAGTGACACTATGGGACAGAGTATAACTGCCCTGGAGGGTTTCCAAGCCTGTAATCTTTACGGAAGCAGATTGCTACATCTTTCTCCTGCAGAACAGCTGGTGAGTTCAAACAGCCAACCTTTTGGTTAGCAGACAAGCACTTTAACCATGGTGCCACCAGGGCTTCTTATATATAAAATACATATATTTTAATCCAAATATAAAAACTACGTCCATTGACCTACCTTTTCTCTTTTTCTGCTCCACAAACCTCAAAAGCAGAACCCATTGCCGTGTAGTCAGATACAACTCATAGCGTCCCCTCCTTGGATTTCCAAGGCGGTATCACTATGGAAATAGATTGCCCAACCTTCCTTCCCAGGAGTGTACTCATAAAATAATCAAAGTCACTTCCCTACACAACTCCAGGGGGCACAATCAATCATACTGAAGTCCATGCAGTGCAATCTTGCATAATTTCTTTCCAGGTGAGAGCAAAATGCAAGTTTTAACCCCGTGTCAATCACTTGTGCTTTTTCTAGGTGGAAATATTACCTTCATAGCCAAAGTCAAGGCTGAAGATCTTCTTAGAAAGCCCACTATCAAATGGTTCAAAGGGAAATGGATGGACCTGGCCAGCAAGGCTGGGAAGCACCTGCAGCTGAAGGAAACTTTTGAAAGGCAATCTCGGGTATGGTCCTGAGCTCCCAACCACGGGGGAGGCTCAGCTAGTTCACTCTTCCTGTGTGGGAATAAAGGTCATTTTCAGGTTCAGCTTCAAGAGGTTTCAGTCCCACAACATTCTCTGATGTTACCATTCCTAGACTCTGCACTCTGTTGTGGTCACTCGGTTGTGCTTAGTGGCTCTCCTGCCTATATTGAGCACGTTGTACTGCCCTCCCTAGATATACATCTTTAAGCCAATGCTGAGGAATCTGAAAAAATAATTGCAATGGGATGGCCTCTTTCAGTGTGCAAGGTAAGGGTGAAATGTGTATGTGTGCATTTCATTGCAGGTGTATACATTTGAGATGCAGATCATTCAAGCCAAAGAGAACTATGCAGGAAACTACAGATGCGAGGTCACCTATAAGGATAAGTTTGACAGCTGTACATTCGATCTTGAAGTGCATGGTAAGAGTGCCGTTTTTGCCTCTTATCATGAGCTGTGAGAGGATGGAGAAGAAGGTGGTCAGCTAAAATCATGAGATTACTTATTTATTGGTGAGGGGGACCTTTGAAAAGTATGCATGTTTCTGATCATGATAGTCTCAGCAAAACAACTGAATTAAATGGTCATGGGACAGTTTCAAAATGGAACTTAGGGCATTTTATTATCTCTTGTCAATGTGATTTATATTCCTTTATTTGCCCAATGAAGGGAGTAATGTCTTTTTGCCTTTTCATGTTTCATTGGGTCCATGTATTCCCACTCATATTTGGGGATAAGGCAATGTAGGATGAGGATGTCAGGATACCTAAATGGAAGGGATACTTTCTCTTATAACTAATGTCAGATATGGAAGTTCTCCCCCCATGTCATCTATATACACTTCCCAGAGTGCATTTCCTAGGGATAAATATAATGAGGTACATTGAAGTTAAAAGAAAAATGCACTTTTATAAGAAAAAGGGAAGCTGACAGTAATTAAACTTCATAAACTTAAGAATCAAAAGTGTGCCACAATTGCAAAAAACAAAGCGAGCGTAATTTTAAACTGGGCTATTCTGAGTGGCACAGGATCTGTTGTTGTTACTGTTATTATGTGCCATCGAGTCGGACCTGACTCACAGTGACCCCTCCTTGGGTTTCCGAGGTAGTATCACCACGGAAGTAGGCTGCCCAACCTTCCTTCCAAGAAGTGGCTGGTGGGTTTGAACCACCAGCCTTCTGGTTAGCAGTCAAATGCCTTAGGCACTATGCTACCAGGATCTAGATCGAGGAAATTACACTACTGTCTGCAATATGCTACTTGTTCCACATGTAGGGTGATGTCTTTGGTGGAAGACACCATACCTCAGCCTGGGTTGCTTCTGGAGTTGGGTAACCAGGAAGATGAAGAGTCCAGAACCATGATCTATCTACATTGAAAATGTCAGTAGAAGACTTTAGGCACACAGAGCTCCTTACAAATAGGAGAAAGGTTGTTACACAGAAAGAGAGAAAAGGTCCTGTTGCATGTACTCTGCAAGTGTTTAGAATACATTAGAATCAGATTAGAATCAAAGGGTAGAAATTAGGACAAGCCAAATTGTGTCTTAACATTAGGATGAGCTCTTTCATTAAGTCTATGTGTACAACCTCAGAGGCTGGAGATCCCCATTACTAGAGATGTCAAGCGAAGGCTGGATGACCACAGGGCAAGGTGCTGGCACGGTCCCTGCATTCAGTGGGAATCTGGCTTTCAGAAGCTATTCTGCATCTTGGCTGGGCATCTCTGAAAATTAGCTGGAGGAATTCAAAGAATACTGGTGCCCATGAAAATTAAGAATTCATGGGTGCCCATGAAAATTATTTCTGGGTGAATCAAAATCTCCAAGGTAAGAATAAGGAAGTTGAGTATTTTTAAGTTCCTCGGGTGATTCTAATGGGCAGGTAAGTTGGACAACACCTGGACAAGGTGACCCCTAAGATCCCTTCATTGATTTTGTGTGAGACTGAGGTATGAAGATGATGATGAGGAAAGCCACCCCCACCCCCACCTTTCAACTGGCATTTCTTCTGTCTGAGGAATCCCCACAGCCTATGAACTAAATATAAAGCTGTCCTCTTAATAGGTATTTATTTTATTGTTTTCTTTCCTTTCAAAGAATCCACTGGGATGACTCCAAACATTGACATCAGATCTGCTTTCAAAAGAAGGTAACTGCAGAAGGGGCATCTAGGGAGTTTTACACCACAAGGTAGTGAAGGATTTTGACACTTCCCCTTCCTCCATACTCCAAATTCACTGTTGGCGAACAAACCATCTGTTGAAAAGTTGGCAGTCTAGAAAAGCCATATGTTTAATGACAAATCCAGAATATAGTGATCATTTTTTAGACTATTCTTGCAATAGTGAAGCTCCCATTTTTGAAGACTTATAAAGATGTGCTCTTGAGGCCATTCATATGTGACTTCTTTAATTGCATTATTTCCCACTTAATGACCCAAAAAGATAAACAAACATACACATTTTATATGGCATCAGTTAAGTCAAGTCAGAAAACTATCTATATTACTGTTCATCGAGAAATCACTTATGGAGTTATTAAATCTTAGAAAACAAGTGGCTACTTATGCAAGTTAGCACCACTGAAATGGTGGACTAACCTTCATGAAAGACTAGAGAGTTGACTGGAAAAAGAACCTTGCAAAAAGACAAGACATGGATGTCTACTTGATTAATTTTGCAACTGTTAAGGATAAGTAATCAGGAGGTGGGAAAAGAAAAGTGGATTTTTTTTTTCCGGTTTATAAGAAACATAACCAACTCCTTATTGCTATTGCTTTACTCTCTGTATGTAATTCTTCCATAATATAAATTATTTAATGAAAGCAACATTTTTGTTGTTCTGAAGACTGAATCCCTGTTAGGTTTTGTTGAATATGGAAAGTTATCTTAAATTAAAACAATCTCTCAGACTGTTAATAAAGACACATTTTCCTCTAAAAATTGTGAATAAGTTAAAAGCTTAACTATTTTTAAAAGATATCTAATGACCTGATCAGTCACTTAATATCTTAATTTTTAAAAACAAGTCATAATTTCCAAATCCCATTACTTTCCTTCACCCCACACTCAACAAATGCCTGGGCCAAAAACTATGCTCACACCTTATACAACTATATTTTAGGAGAGGGAGATGTGTGTTCAATTCAAAACACCTTCTCCAAAGATCTGTTATTAAAGAAATTTTGAAAACATGATTTCAGCTCTTATAACTTATGTGTTATACACACTGTTTTTAAACCCACAGACTCTTTCCTTAGAAACCATACTAACATTTGTAAAGAGCAGGAAACAAAATCTTCATTTAAAAAATTAAACATGTAAGTAAATACAGTGTCATTTACATGTCAGTACCACAGCTTCTGTTGAGAGTTTATCTGAAATCACGAAGGTGGCTGCATGCCTAATTTAAGATGCATTTCTCTATAGGAAATCACTTGATAAGACTACTAGTAAAGGGTTCATTAGCAAATCAAAGACAATATTTTGAAAAATAAGTTTTAAAAGGTATAAATATTCATAAGAACATGAAAAGATGATAATTTCCCCTTAAAACAGAAAGGAATGCATCTTGTAAAAAGCTCTGTGCTAGCTCCATTTTTATGTTATGCTGGTATCACATTATCTGATTCATCTATTCATGGATACAAAGAGGTTACCTTTGGCATATAAGGCTTTGCACTTATATATTTGACATTGGTACACTTTGTCCTACAAGGCAGAACCAAGCCAATCTCTGTCTCACGTGAATAACAGAGATCAGCAAAAGTCCTTTGCTTTTTACGCAGGTATGTTTCTAGAGCCCCCAACTTGCAAAAACAAAGTACTTTGCGTTGCTTGGCTTAAGTGCATTTGTGTTACTCAGTTTTAACACAAATCCAAGCAGTTTTATATATGCAATCTATACAATATGTGTCTTCTGAAATCACAGAGTAACACAAGCTCCTCCTGTTCACTTTTCCACAAGTACATGTTTCAAAAACTTCAAATGTCACTTGTGTGAAAAGAAACTGTTTGTGTTGATTTAGTCTCACGACCTGTGTGCTGGTCCAAAATTGCATATACGTTATATGTAGTGTTTGGGGGAAACTGTGTATGTGTCTCTGCATTAAACAGATTTGCTTTTCTTTTGTTAATGACAGTGGTGAAGGTCAAGAGGATGCAGGGGAACTTGACTTTAGTGGTCTCCTGAAACGTAGGTGAGAACCAAGTGATGGACTGAGGCGCTGTGAACTGGAAACCTTTTAGATACCTACTCAGAGAAGTGAAGTTTAGAGTGGATGTCTTTCAAGGAATTTTTCATTTCTTAAACTGTGTTTTGCTTATAGAACATAACAGAGTCGACTAAGAAAGGGACAGAGAAACAATTGCATACTAATCTGTGTTAAAGGTTTTAGCCAGTGTTTTGAAACTTTCTTTTTAACTGTTTGATGAGTCTTTCCATGTTTTCCTAGTTGGGGATGGGAGATTTGAAAACTGAGACAATTCATATACCTAAAAATCTTTAAGATTTACACGTGATTCTTTCTTAACCAAAACCAAACCCACTGCCATTGAGTCGATTCCAACTCACAGCGACCCAATAGGACAGAGTAGAACTGCCCCATAGGGTTTCCAAGTCTATGAATCTTTACAGAAAAACAGATTGCCTCATCTTTCTCCTATGGAGTGGCTGGTGGGTTGAACCACTGACCTTCTGATTGGCAGCTGAATGCTTTAACCACTGCACTACTAGAGCTCCTGATGCCTTCTTAGGACTAAATAAATAAAGGCTCCATTCTCCTGCCTTTGAAATGTGTCTTTGACTGAAAAAATCAATACCACAACTTTGGTGGAAGTCCACAGGGGTGCATATAAATATATATATATATATGATTGTTAAGGCAGAATTACTTTGATATTTTTATTCATTATATTTCATCAAATCTAAGACACCATTGATTTAAAAATATATCAGTATTTTGTAAATCATAAAAACAAGGAAAAATTGCTCCAAATAGTTTACTATGACACACTATATAAGATACATTCTTATTTCAGAGATGTTCAAAATATCAAAAAAAATGTATATTTTACAATCAATAAAATATGGTAGTAAACTGGAAATTATTTAGTATTATCACATTCCTCTGACACTATCCTCTTATCATACAATTCAAAGAATTTTATCACGGATATTTAATAGATAAGTATGTTTAGAGGATTTTGTCCATATATATAGTTATATAATATACTATATATGTGTTATATATAAAGTTATAGATATCTACATATTTATTATCTAGTGTGAAAAAGAAATTGACTTTTTGCTAGGATTGTATTTTACCTAGCAAATGTGGGAATAAACAAAAGAAAACTATAATTCTAAATTAATAATACATAATATTGATATCTGTTGTCATTCAGCTTTTTGGGCACACTTTTTATTACTTTTAGTGCTTTCTATAGATGTTAAAGGAACATAAATACAAAAATGCTTCTGAACAAATGATACTTGTTATAAATTGGGTGTGTTTATTCTCATTATTTGCAGATTAGCTGGATGGCTTTATTTAAATTCCCGAAGCTCTAAACAATTACACTGAAAACAGAAATGTGAATAGATGCAAATTATTCTTTACTGATAGATATTACCCACTGATAGACTTTGGTAATGTCAACTCTATCTTTTCTCCCTTGGATACTTCAAATAATCATTAGTTTCTATCATATCTATTAAGTCCCCAAACATGTTTAGAAGCATATATATAAGAAGCAATCTCAGATGAAGCTCACTTAGCCTTGTTTAGAATTGAGAAAAAGAAGGTCCAAAGACATCGAGTGACTTACCTCAAATCACACAGCTAGCCAGAGGAAGAATAAGGACCCAAATCCAGGTTTACCTTTTCTAAGTTGGCTCATGTCCTGTGACTCCATACAAGAAACAACACTCTGAATCTATCCCAGAAGTTGGTGCTTGAGTTTATAACATAAATTGACATTTAGGAATACAAGAGTGCACTTTTTTTCTGCAATCATTCATTCAACGAGAAATACAGTAAATGTGTTCTTTGTGTTCAATAAATGCCAGGTGATACAAGGAAACGAAAACCCAGTGCCTACCAGTGCCTGGCACATAGAAAGGCACTAACCTCTATTTGTGGCATGGAAAAGGTAGTGGTAAAAACATGAGTGCCCATTCCACCATTGACTAGCAATGTGACTTTGGTTAAAGCATGTATGCCCTCTTTGAGACTTGGTTTAACATCTGTAGATGAGGTGAATAAAAACTAATTTATACAGTTACTGTGAAAACGAAATTAACTCTAAAGGGCCTGGCTTAGAGTAGGTATCAAGCAAATAACTCACGTCCACTTCCACCATGGAAATGCTGCATTTCCCTCAAAGAGCTTTTATGATCAGTGACAAAACACACACATACACACACAAATTTAAAAAAAAAAAAGTAGATGTCATGCTCTCATTAAAAAGGAAAAAAGAACAAATTAGTTTCACTAGTAATTTGCAGAGTAAAAGAAATTTAATTGTATTGTGTCAGAGGGACTGAAAAAAAAAAAAAGAAACTCATAAGAAAAAATAGGCAGCCAATGTCTCCAGTTTTCATTTTTTTTACATCCCCTAACTATGGTTTTGATTCATATTTAGATTAATACTTAATTTAAGACTATACTTATTTACTGTACTATTCTAATCCACTAGCATAGTTTTAGAAACCTATGCTAGTTTTTGTGTTTTCCTACTAATTTGCAAACTGCATGTGTTTTCATTGAGGTAATGACAAACGGTTACCATTTCTACTCCTCCAAGAGTGTGTGGCAAAATCTTCACCAGGATAAATATCATTATGACCAACATCTCTATCCAACAAAAGATCTTCTTGCCCTGAACAAAGCCAGCTTATTTCATATAGACTTTCATGAAATCAGAGTCAATCTTCTGGGCTGTGTCTTGTTACAGGATTTGGCCTATATGAATACCTGAAAGTTTTATTCTACATAAAATTTCTATAACAGCTTTATACTTTAATCCCATATACTGGGATTATGAAGTTATAGAAATTTTGATGTAAATGAAAGTACTGTTGGCATTATATAGGTCTTTCCTGATGCTTGGGAAGGAACAGGAGGTGCTTATAGGCATCTAGATTTTTCTCCTCAGTGTAGCTTAACATAGTCATACAGATAAAGTCATGTGCAGCCACCATGGATAGAAAAGACATATTCCAGGTGACTTAAGGAAATGCGACAGGTGAGAGATGTGACCTCACATTCCAGTTCAAAATGATGACTGCTTCCCCTTGCAATCTGAGGCTTAACTAAATGATGGAGAGAGAAGGCAGACATAGGTAAGAGGTCACTGGTATTCTTATACATATTTGGTAAGACTAGGACCACGATAGAGCAGAGTACATTTGGAGTTTTAATGAGGAAAATATGGGGAAGATGATAGGTTTTATAAATCTACCAGCTAAACTAACTTAAGAAATCATACTGAAAATGATGGTCATTGTCATACTTCCTTCATATAAATATTCATCTAGTGGGACTATAGATGTCACTCTTAGTGGAATTAGATAGTAAAAGCATATTTTCAATTTGCCTCTCATTACCTATTTTAATTATATGTGGTCTGATATCTTTAATTCCTTTCACCACCAATGTCAGGAAGGTAGTAGAAATGTGTATGTGTGTATTTCTTCTGGATGGAAGTGCATATTTCATAAATCTAGTATGGATAATTTTATAGCCTGGGGACTGACTACAACAAAAAAAAAAGAGCATTAACACAATGTCAGAAGAACTAGTAGTCATTTTCAGAAGCTGCTGTAGCTGACATTTTTGGATTGAGGAAACAAATACATACATATGGATATACATACACATTTTAATTGCAACTCTACAAGACTTCCTACTAAAACATAAAGGATGTACTTGAAAATGAGACTTTCAGATAGTAGATGCAGAGGATTTGGCATATTGTTACCAAAATTCCAACTTCAGGACGACTTTCTTAAGCTTTCTAGCTTCTTCACGTTAACTTAGGGGGTGTAGTCACTGTTTCAGTGCGATGAAGGTAATGCTGAGTCTTGAGTGTTTCAGAGGCACATTTACCTAGTGGTGTTGCCTAGACCTTCCCACCAAGGACGCAGATGGCCCAATGACCTCTTACTTCCTTCCATTTTCCAGGAGATCTGCCTCAGTGTTTTCCCCAGTTGGGCAGCTTACATGAGAATGTAAAATAAAAATGAGATCTTAGGAGTCATCCTTGCCTACCACCACCCCAAACTCCATATTAATATTTATATTCTCTCTCTGCCACAAACCTTCTCCATGATTACAGTCCAGTATTTCCCTTTCAAAGTGCATATGAGTATAAAGAAGAATTCCTGAAACAGGTGTAATTAATGTGGCAACGAGAATATATGCAGCCCACGGTTCCCCCATGTACTAGAATGAATCTGTTCTCACAATGATGTATACAATTTTTGACTAGGTTTCCTGAAGAATTGTACCTAAACCAGCATTATTCACAGTAAGCAGTCACTGTAACACTTCTATATCAATCTGATAAAAATATTCAACTAAGTTTAAATAAAATCAGGAATATTTATCCAGTGAAGGAAATTAATTGAATTATATTGTGTATTTACACTAAGCTTCTTTCCCTGAAAAGTGTTTCTTCCTGAGTTTTGGTTTGATTTGTGGTCTAAAATAAGGGCAGACAAAGTTTAAATCTTAGAGTCAAATGTTATCTTTAGTTAGTGATCAAAATTGGGAGTCATAATTTTATTATAGTGAATAGCCATTGCTAACTATACTAAGTGACTTTTCCCCTTTGTTCATGGAATCCTAAAACATGTGCTTTACAGTTTAACATGATTTATTTATGATTCTATTCAATCTACTTCCAAAAACATCCAAGACAGTACTTTAATATAAAATCTGAGATAATATTTGGCCTCATTCTCTTTTTCCCCTGCCAGTTCAGAAAAGCAATTTTCTCTTAAAAGGCCTATCTGTATCCATACAAATCCTATGAAAAAAACCCTCATGGCAATTTTAAATGTTTTTTGTATACCCAAAACCAAACGTACTGCCCTCAAGTGGATTCCAACTCACAGCCACGCTCCTTGGGTTTCTGAGCAGGTATCTCGAGGGAAGTAGATTGCCCAGTGTTCCTTCCCAGGAGTGGCTGGTGGGTTTGAACCCACCTTCTGGTAGCAGTCAAATGCCTAGTTGTTGTTATGTGCTGGGGAGTCATCCCCGACTCATAGTGACCCCCTCCTTGGGCTTCCGAGGCAGCATCCATGCAGGAGGTAGATTGCCCAACCTTCCTACCGAGGAGTGGCTGGTGGGTTTGAACCAGCCTTCTGGTTAGCAGTCAAGTGCCTTAGGCACTATGCTTCCAGAGCTCCTCTATGCTACCAGAGCTCCTGTCAAATGCCTTAGGCATTCACTAATATGGTAGAAAATGCTATATGCAAAATCCAAAAGCTTGAAATATTGGATTTATAAAATCGACATACATAGCTACGGTGTGTATATCAAGAAAGATGGAAAGAGATCATTTTCGGCCCTCCTGAAGAAAAAAAAAAAAAAAACAACTCACTGCCATCCAGTCGATTCTGACTTAAGCGACGCCCATTGGGTTTCCAAGGCTGTAGATATATATTTACGGAAGCATATCGCTCCATCTTCCTTCCAGCAGAACAGCTGGTGGGTTTGAACTGCTGACATTTTCCCCCAGAGAGCAGTAATTAAATCTTTTAGTTCTTAATCCACTTTTCACCTTGAACTCAATATCCTTATTCTAGATTAAAACTGTTACATTTCTCAAAATACCACCTTCTAATTAGACATCGGGAGCTCTGGTGGTGTAGTGCCTAAGGCACTTGACTGCTAACCAGAAGGCTGGTGGTTCAAAGCCACCAGCCACTCCTCCGAAGGAAGGTTGGGCAATCTACTTCCGTAGTGATACCTCCTCGGAAACCCAAGGAGGAGTCGCTATGAGTAGCTGCACTGGCCCTTAAGGACTCTATGGCACATAACAACAACAACAATTAGACTTCAACTTGAAAATAAGTAAAAGAATTGAGTTTTCTCAGGATATTTCCCAATATCCTCCTCTCCCCCAGCCCCACCCCACCCCACTCCCCAAATTGTGCTTTTAACGAAGAAAACCAAAGTGTTACTATGTGGCACATGTCCGATCTTTTACATTTGGAAGTTTCCCAAAGACTTCAAGCAAAGATCGTAGACTGACTTCTTAGCTAGTCAGGCCTTAAGCATAGCCTTTAACACTGAAGTGAAAAATTGGTATGTACCCGATCGTCCTTAAGGGCCAGTGCAGCTATTTAAACCAGGCAATGCTTCGTCTCCGGCCAGGGAAGTGAAGCAGCAGGAGGAGGAACCCGAGGTAGACGTGTGGGAGCTGCTGAAGAATGCGAACCCTAACGAATACGAGAAGATTGCCTTCCAGTACGGTATCACCGACCTGCGCGGCATGCTCAAGCGGCTCAAGCGCATGCGCAGGGTGGAGAAGAAGAGCGCCGGTGAGTTCAGGCCCAGGGGAACCGCCCAGGGGCGTGGCTGTGGGCACCCTGTCCTTTGAAGTCGGACTAAATAACCGAAAGCTTCTACCAGCGACCTTTACAATCTCTCACGGGTTTGGGATGGAGCTGCGGGAGTTATCTTTGACATACAAGGGTTTAAGACATTTACATTACAGCACCACACACAACATATAATGGAAGATTAAACATCTCTGCTCTCAACTCATTGTGGTGGAGTCTGATCCGACTCATAACGACCCCTCCTTGGGTTTCCCAGGCAGTATCACTACGGAAGTAGATTGCTCAGCCTTCCTTCTGAGAAATAGCCGGTGGGTTTGAACCTCCAGCCTTCTGATTAGCAGTCAAGTACCTTAGGCAAAACATCCATGCAGCCACTGGGAATTTCTCAGCAGCTTCTTTCTCCAGGACATCTCCCTCACTCTCCAACTCTTGATTTTTACTTAGGCTGAGTAGATGCCATGTGTGTTTATTTTACCATTGTATTCTTCCACCCTTTTTATGGGGCCTGGGGATTCGCTTCTTACACATTACACCCGATAGGATTATCAAAGTGTTTTGTAAAACCCAAGGACATGCTGCTCTTTGGGGATCAGAAATGGATCCAGTTGGTTGTAGTTTTCAATTTTTTTTTTTTTTTTTAAATACGTTGAGATGTTAAGATTTAAAGTGAAAAAAAAAAAAAAAGAATACATTTTAAATTTATCCTTAGCTCTCCAAAGTCCCCTGTACTCAATCATTATCACTTACTGGTTTTATGACACATCAGGGAAATATATGAATTCTATGTTTGTTTATTGTTTTGCTGAAGTTCAAATAGAATGTAAGGAATCTCACTTTATCCTTTATTTCTAAAACTCTCTGTGCACTGGTTAAGAAATGGCCCCACAGACACATAGAAGGGATTTCTTTTCCCGAACTCAGCCATTCCCACTATCTCAGAACTCTTGAAGTGATGAGAGATTGGACTGTATAGTCACAAACACGTGAAACTAAGGCGTAGAGCCCACTGGCATCTCTTTTCCCCTACACTGGCCCATCTTACTATCACAAGAGGTCTGAACTGACCTCTTAAGGTATGTGATAGAGAACTTTTTTAAAGTTAATATTGATTTTATCTTGTTACATTATGTGGAAACAGGCTTTTTAAAGCAATAGTGTAATAAAGTTAGCATGATGGAGATACATGCATGACAACTTCATAAAGCATTTCACACTTGTATGTATTTTCCAAATGGTCTAAATGAGAATTATCTTTAAAATTAGAAAGAATCATTATTATTAAATGGGGGAAAAAAAACTTAACTACTACTGCTTAGGACCCTTCTCTTGGAAGACATATTTTAAAGAATTGCTATCTTGTTGTTGTTGTTACGTGATGTGGAGTCGGACCCGACTCATAGAGGCCCCTCCTTGGGTTTCCCAGGCAGTATCACTATGGAAGTAGATTGCCCCATGTTATTTAAAATGTTTGGAACTCCTAAGTTACTAACCAATTGTATGTGTAAAGGATGTTTGAAACATGTCAAGTTTCAAACTATTTGGTCAAGTTCCCACAAAATGAACACTTGGATAAGCCCACTATTTCAATTAGTCAGAGACCTTCAATTTAATCTTATAAATCAATGAACTTATCTCATAAATTCTACAATGAGAAACAGTCTGTGATAGAGAAAAAGTGGGAAAATAATGCCAATGATTCTAAAAGTAACATGCTAGGAGAATAAGCATACCCTCAAGTTCAAGTTCATTTACAGTGTACATTCCCTACAGAATTAGGGCAATCATTTTTTTAAAGCCTCTTCAATTATTCTTTTCTTGTGTTTCTTCCAAAAACTGTGGATTCTTTATAAGTGTTTTAAACCATATTATTGTATGTAAAAAGAATTCTAAAATATAAAGGATAATTTGGAAGGCTCCCATTTTTTTCTTCTGAGACTCATTTATGAGACTTTTTATGTTCTCAGACATATATTGTCTATTTAAACCCATTACCTAGATATATACATATTAATATGGTCTTTGTTTCTTCTTTCTACCAGCTTTTTCAAAAATTCTTGATCCTGCTTACCAAGTTGATAAAGGAGGCAGGGTAAGGTTTGCTGTGGAACTGGCAGATCCAAAATTGGAGGTGAAGTGGTATAAAAATGGTCAAGAAATTCGACCCAGTACAAAGTAAGTGGGATTTGCAAGTCATCAGCGATGCTAACAGCAAGTGTAAATAACTCAAACAGCAGTTTGACTTCATTTTCTGGGAATAAAAGCAGCTTAAACTTATATCTTTGTGATACAAAATCGTATCACTCACTCCCTCACTCCCTCCCTCACTGCCCTAGAGTCAGATCTGACTCATAGTGACCTCTCCTTGGGTTTCCCTGGTGGTATCACTGTGGAAGTAGATTGCCCAATCTTCCTTCTGAGGAGTGGCAAAATTGTATAGTAGGAGAGTAAAAAATTAAGTCACTTTCCATGTATTTGGAATCATTAAAATTACAATGCTATGTAAAGCAAACCTTGTTTCATGTTTAAGTCCTAGAGGTTTTAATGCTAGATAAACCATTTCAAGTGATTCCCAACTATAGTTTTTCTGTGTGTCACTCTAAGATGTGTATGATTATATCAGAGTAATGCTAAACTTCTTCCAAATTTTTGAAATAAAATTTTAATTTTTATAATATATATATTTGATATACCAGCTGGGCATCGTGCCTTATAATTTCCGGATTAGCATCTATATTGCTAATAGTGATTGCTATTGCTGTCACAGACAATACTGATGGCTGAAGACTTTCCTTTTTAACTAAGGCTCTGTTTTGAACACTTACTCACAGTAGTGCATCTGAATGGAACTACTTAATATTGAGATCTACCAGAATGTGGATCTAAGCCCATGTTTTATTATTTCTTGGCTAACTCCCAGATGAGGGAGACAGGCTAATCCCCAATGTTTGATGGTATCTCTATTACAAAACTGCTTTGCAGAGATCCTTCCCAGCCCAAGAGATTTTCAACTCCAATGTATTTTTTTAAAATTAACAGGACCACGTGTATATTTATAAAAGACTTTAATCCTGGAAATCTATCACTTCCGGAATGTAATCAGATTGTTTCCAGTTCCTTAGTGCAGTCATGCCTACAGGGTGACTCTGTGATGATAATGTTCACACCTGATGAACGTCTCTTGAAGACCATCTGAGTTTACCAAAAACCTCATTTCTTTACCTTAAAAATGTTGTTTAATGTTTTGCTCTTGAAGCCTTCATTTGGGGAATTTCCCAAAAGATCATTTATTTTCCCCTTCTGCCTGTTATGATGTCTAAGAAGTTCTGGTGGCTCAGTGGTTAAGGCATTCCACTGATGACAGAAACGTTCAGCAGTTCAAACCCACTAGCTGCTCCACAGGATAAAGATGAGGCCATCTGCTTTTGTAAAGATTTACAGCCTTGAAAACCCTATGGGGCAGTTCTACTCTGTCCTATAGGGTCGCCATGAATTGGAATCAACTTGATGAAAGTGAGTTGGGTTTGGTTATCCATAATCCAAATGACAGATAATTCAATTTTGGAATCCTTTTGCTTCTGTTTTCTCTTATTAAATACTCAAGTCCTTTTTTAAGTAGATGATCATTGTGATATGATGGCACGAGTTCTTAACCTCATTCAAGAGAACACCACATTGTATAGAAGTATATTAGTGATTGTGGTCATATTTTTCCTTAAGCTGTATAATCTTTTATTCACCTAGCACAATCTGTTGTATCACAGTGTTCTGCAATGAGTGGAATATATGTCAATTAATAAGATCAAGTCTCCTGCCCCCTGTAAAATACATGAACCAGTCATTTAAAGCATGCACAGAGTTTAAAATCTAACATCCTTAGCCCATTCTTTTTTCCAACCATGGGATAAATAAAATAACAAATTTTATTGAATCAAAAATTAAATAACAAACATGAATACTGACTTATCTTTGAATTTAAAACCTTGTATGAAATAATCACAAAAATTAAATGATATGTGTAATTATGCCTATGTATTAAAGATGAAAATTGATTTCATTTTTATGTTAACTAGAGTATGTACGATGTGCCACTATAATTGGTATGTCAAAATTATATCCCTGACTTTCAAGCAGTACTGAATTACAAGCCAGCTTTGCTGGCAAGAAAGAGAAGGTTAAAATCGAGTTCATGGACTCTTTATTTTCCTCCTGTTTAAAACAGATACATCTTTGAACACAAAGGATGTGAAAGAATCATGTTTATCAATAACTGTTCACTGACAGATGATGCAGAATACTATGTGACGGCTGGCGATGAGAAATGTTCCACTGAGCTCTTTGTAAGAGGTAAGATGAAATCTCTTAGTGCAGCAAAGAGAGAGCGAATTGTTTGTCTTCTTCCAGTGGTAATTACCAAAATGCAAGTGCCGGTGCACAATTTGGCACTTTGGCTCCAAAGCAGAGGTAATTATACCTCTAACAATAGTTTGGTTTGGGTCTTTTCTTTGAAGATCCTCTGCACAGGCAGATATTATGTATCCTGATTACTCTTCAGATTTGTTGAAGACCAGAAAAACTGAGGGGAGGAAAAATCTGTAGAGTAAAATGCCAAGCACTATGTTGCACAATAAATCTTGTAGTTACAGCTTCTGAAACCTGACTGTCTCTTATCCGGTAACTCTCATTTCATTCAGTTGATCACAAGTAGATTTTCCCTTTAAACCAGCTACATACGTCAAAGGGTATCATTGGTTGACACTGAAAATCATCATTTCCAGAGATGCTGGAAAGAGCTGAATGAAGTGGCATATCATTTCTTTTCCCCATAATGAGGCCTTCTGGTTGGAGACAACTCTGAGATCTCTATCATCCATCCAGAATGAGAATCAAAGTATGTTGGTATTATAGGTTCTCCTTCATCAGAAATGTCTCTCACCTAGCAGCTTATCTGCCAAAAGAAGGATACATGGTACATATTGTTCTATTCTCCAGAACAATTATTTATTTAATCTTGGGACTTCCATGAAAATTGGGATAGTTTACCCTGAGTTGCCAGCTATTTATCTTGTCAAGGACAGACTTTTACTACCATCTTCCACCATGGAAACCAGGATTGTGTGACAGATGGTACTTTCCTACTTTTACTTTTCACCTGTGAACAACTTGTGAGACAACTTTCAGATATTTAATCATTCTGATTCCCTCCTCTTTTTCTCTCACTAGAGCCTCCAGTTCTAGTGACCAAACAGCTGGAAGATACAAATACGTACTGTGGGGAGAGAGTGGAATTAGAATGTGAGGTGTCTGAAGACGATGCCAATGTGAAATGGTAAATAGTTTTCCTGGGGTTGGTCTCTCTCTCTCTGTCTCTCTCTCTCTCTCTCTCTTTATATAT